TTCCATGGATAGAAAGGATGCTTCATATAAGCTTAGTAATCCCTTGGTGTCTTCGCAAATTTCAGTCTTGAAATTGACCCGCCTTTCATCCAGGAAACCATCAAACGCATCTACTCACATTCAAGAATTCAATCATTATCAAAGTTTTCTGGTGGGGTCCTGTTTGGGTTCATCTAGGACGGAAATGCAGCAAGTTTTGCCGGTTGCAGGTAGGGTCGCCAAACAGGCACTAAGGAATTTTTAATGGAATATTTTGATCATGCTCTTCGTAAGTGTAGTTTATGCTCACACACTTTCAAATTAAAATTAAACCGAGAAATCAATTAAATACATTATTGAAACATGTTGTGCTTTATACATATACAATAAAACACAATATGTTCAAGTTGCTAACCCGAAAGTCCTCTTTGACGAAGCCGATGACGACTTCGCCCTCGAGACCCGAAGGCTCTTTACCGAGGGCTCGGCCGGATCGAGGAGGTGGGATGATCTTTCTGTGAGAAGTCATGGTCCATAGCCCTCGGGCTTGTACCCGAGGGGTACCCGTAAGCTTGTCTTGGCTATTTGAAGTAGTTGGGCCTTCTGCGGTGGGATGAGTGTGTGGAGCGGGGGATCTTGTGCCATATACTCCATCAAAATTCAAGCGGGGGATCTTGACGAAATATTTTTCAAAAATTTATTTAACTGACTTCCCAATTGAATTTTTAGGTGATACTTGGTGGACCTAATCTACACCTCATGAAGAACATGGTCACAAAATCTCATCAAAAACTTCCACCCAGAAGCAACTGAAACGGAGGCGATGGGACAGTGGTTCTAGTAAGGTAGTTTTGACATGATCATTCATCTATATACTACGAGTGTATTACTATTACTCCACTGTTCTGAAATTATCATCCAAAGTATATTTGACACGGAGGTTAAGATAATGTGTTTTGTGTAGTGCAGACTTGTGTAAAGAAGAGAGAAATATGTAAGAATGTATAAGAAACGTTGTGAACTATGAATTCAATGCCAAAAATGGAAATAGAAGATTATTTCGGAAAGGACAAAAAGGAAAATGTTGAAGATGACCTTTGGCCTCTCTTGAGTCTCTCTGACATTGCAGATATTAGTTTTTGTAAGTTTTTTACATACAAAGTACTTTCTTTATGTACTAAATTATGATTTTAAAACTGCTTCTACTCCCTAGCAGAAGCAGAAGTTAAAATGTATGAGTGAAAGTGCAGAAATGATTATGGTGCTCTAATTTACTCCTAGAATCAGTTTTTTTAGATATAGGAGACCAGCTTCTGAAAACTGATTCTGATTCTGCTTCTGCTTTAAAAAAGAAGCCGAAGCAGAATCAGTTCCAAACCCCCTAAATTAGTGTTGAAAGTGCAATTCTAATCTCACTTGAGTGAAAGTCATCGTGGAGTCATAATCTTCTCGGGTCATAAATCTTGTGAGTTTAGCTAAACGAAATTGAAGTACAATATCTTAATTAAAGTACATACCTTGAGAGGGACAGAAGCCATTTTGTCTGAGCAGTCTAAATTTGAGAGCTGTAGAATACAAATTCGCTTTCCCCTCTCGACTGCAACTGTTTCTTACCTTCAAAGCTTCCCATATTTCATCCTCAAAATGGCAAGCACATCCCATCCTTTGCAATTCATCAATGGCCTCCATCTTCTCCAAGTCTTCCATCTCTTCATTGTTCAGCATATTTTGAACCTTTTTCTTCAACTCATCACGTCTTGTCACGTACCTCTCAGTCTGCATATTATTACAACAACATGTATTACCCCTTTCCTTCCAATATTATCTTCTATTTTGACTTTGCACACGAATTAAGAAAGTAAAAAATGTATGGTCTAGAATTGTATAGAAGAGAGAAAGTGCGGACAAATACTAAAAATCATAAATTCTTTACATAAAAGAGAAAGATAAATTTATATTGAGATGAATGTATAAACAAACAATCAATATAATATTGGGACGGAGGGAGTATTGTTCTAAGAGAGACCATGTAGAAGGATTGATTGATTTGATTTGAAGTAATATGATTTGATTTGAAACTATGTATACATAATAAGGGATTGAGGTGTTTGATGTTTTTCTCATGTAGTACTCCTTGTGTCCTGAATTATATTTTTCACGGGAATTAAGAAAGTAAGATTTGTGTGGTGGATTGTTGTACATAGAAAAGAGAAATGTTAAGAATGTATAAAAAATGCTTGTCAACCACAACTTTATTGTCAAAAAAGGAAAACATAGATTATTTTGGAACAGGCGAAAAAAAAGTTAGGAGATAATAAATTCAGGGACATAGAAGCGTAATAAATGGAGTATTACGTACTGTATAGTGATTAGTGTTGAAGGACTGAAGGTAAGTGTAATCCCAAGTAGGAGGCTTATAATTCCCAGATCTTCTGCTAATTGTTGTTGTTTGACTACACATTACACGAAACGATGACGGTTGATGATGAGCTGCTGCCGCTGATCTATTAGAAGTTTGAAGGCCATGGCCACGAAAAATGCATATTGAAGCAGGAAGTGAATTGAGCATTGTCATAAATTATTGAATAATTCAAGAACATTAATTATGTCTCTGATTTCTTGTGTATATACTACTCCGTATATAGCACAACCAAATGATTTAAAGATGGAATGTTTTTCTAGTTTTGGTACGCCAGATTTATAGGTAGATAGACGTTTTAGCAGAGGCACGCCTAAACTTGCTCTAAATGTACATACGATTTTGAGATGTACACTGCCTAAACAAATCACAAGCATCTCAATTCTGAATACACATGTTAGAATAGACATCTCATTTAAGATGTACACTGTCTACATATAGGGCGGATACGTCGCCACGAGTATCAATCTACATAATGCATAAACTAATAATAGCCATTCATTTATTTTAGCTAAAATTATTAATATCTTAGATCATCTTATTCTATAATTAGTTATAGCAGTTGGAGATGTGCATTCAACCAAATCCATTTTACCTTTTAGGACTATAAAATTAATTCTTCGTTCACAATTTTAGATATTTTAAAGGAAAACATTATGTATTTGCATACCTCACATCCAACTTCAACGATCAGCTAATTACCCTCATAGCTTGATTAGCCACATCATCATTTGCAGCAAATTTAAATTGACTCCGATGGTTAGCTATAAAATCTTCTCTTCATTTATTATTAATAGTGTTATATTTAGTAATTGACTTTGTTCAAGCTAATAGCTCATTTTGACTAATTACTTTTCACACATAAAAGGAAAAGTAATGCTCCAATGATAAGTTATTAGTTTTAAAATTACAAGCAAATCCTCTAAAAGAACCATTAGAGATGCTCTTATACTTCATATTATAATGATATTTGTATACATAAAATAATAAAAGTCGTTGATTTAATTTATCTTTGTTTTTTTGAATATATAGGATCGACTTTTATAATAAAATGGAGAAAAGATACAAGATAACATTCAGACACTTATGACCGATCCGATTGTGAGCCTCTGGAATAGACACAGAACTAGCCACCTCATACAAAGCAACCTGATTCGCTAGACATGAAATGAGCAATTTAAAGCCTAAAACAATCGGGATTGAAATACTGTCTATAAAACATATGCCAAAAGTCCAAATTTCCAAACCAAATCTGCTGAAACTAAAATAAAAAAAGTACTACTAATGAAAAAATAAAATTAAAATAAAGTCTTTTCACAAAACTTTTCATGACACGGAGGTAGTTCTAGAGGAGGACGAACTCTACCAATATATATGCACTCTGGAAGAAAGCTAGCACACAGAAACACATGACCAAACGAAGCTAACCGAGACAACAACATAACTCCCCACATTGAGAGACACAAACTACCCGGAGCACTAATGCCCGAGAAAGAACCGCCATATAACAAAATCAACACAACAAGAAGTGAATAACAATCCAATTGGATCATACCTCTACCAAGAATCTTTTAGCGTCGATGTCACCATCAGATAATTTGGATTATCATTAGACCGAGAAGATGAAAGCTAATGGGAGAAAGCTAATGAAGAGATTAACCTTGAAGTGAACCTCCTTTGATGGCGGCAGCACTGGGGTTACCGCACACCCTATAATGGAATCTTAAAATTTATTGAATCCCCCTCAACCATCACCTTTAATTATGAGATTATTTGTGGGACATTCGCTAAATAGTAAAATAAGCTGCCATAACTTTCTAACGATTTAATTTATCTTTGATCATTAAAATCTTATACTATTATAAAACATGAATGAGTATATATGAAAGCAAAACTCAGACGCCTCTGACAGTTTCGAGCATTCTGATGACTCTTTCTTCACAGATGACTTTTTGGGACATGCAACCGAAAGCGACCGTCCTCCTCCAATTTCATACCCGAAAGAAATCAGGAAGTCCAAACACAACAAAGAGATTTGTCGCAAAGCAATTTTCGTAAACTCGGAAAATTGTCTTCCAATAGAGAATCTAAACACGTAACTCAAAATCTACAGGAAAATTTCAAAAGAATAAAAGGCATCACAGCATGAGAACTAGGTCTCAGTCTAGAGATTTCCCTTGGGATTAGTTTCACGTTTATTATTCTTTTACTTTTTCTGGACTATTTTTCTTTTAACTTCTTTCTTGTATTGTATTGTTCCTTTTTCTATCAATAAAATCTTTTTTTTTCTAAAAAACAAAAAAAAATGAAGGCAAAACTTTTATTCAAATTATTTCCCTTTAACTATGTACATTTAAGTTCATGTTATATACTTACAATAAAAAGTGCATAGCCTTTTTAATTATTCTAGAAACTTATGAGTTATGTATGTCTTATAATAACATCAAAATCCATAAATTTTGATGTTATCTAAATAGGTTTTCAATTATGAAATACAATTGGGTCATGTATTGAGTTTTATCATATTTTTTATATTAATTTCTAAAGTGGTATATACTTCATTAAAAATAATAGATGTTTGTTTAAGCGATATAGCCATTTCTCCCTATTGTTTATTAGTTTTTTTTTTAAAGAAAAACTTTATTAAAAAGGAGAAGAGTACACACACTAATGAGTACTAGCCCAAAGCTAAAGCAAACGAAACAACTAGCTCTAATGAAAGGAGAAAGCAAATGATTTAAAATAAGTGAGCAAAATCCAACACTATAGCACCGCCCCTCGGATAAAAAGAGAAGCCCGAAAAGAAGATCCGCCAACAAGATGTCCCTAAAGATCAATTTTCACAAACAAAAAACCCCACGAAGCAACTAGGAGCCCAACAAATATCGAAAAACGAACCCTACTTCTTCGGAGTCAACTTTTTTTCCTTAAGGCGAGTACTCCTTCTATGAACCAATATAGAACTCGATGAACTCCACTTGGGATCCACAATAGAGTAAGTAGGATCTGCCATACAGTCCAACAGTTCACGGTCTATAAGAAGCCTTCTTACGGGCGTTGCTTCTAATTCCTCTCCCAACACATCCGAACTTGAAGGAAAAGATACATGAAGAGGTGATACTTCTTGAATATCCTCCATCTGAATATTTATCTTCCTAGATTACTCATTAGTCTCATTGAGTCCCACAGGCAAACCTGAATCAATACCCAAAATATTTCCTGCACTAACATCTATCTCTTCATTTTTCTCCTCAATTGCCATAGTGATGCCCTCTTGAATGATATCCTGTGAGGCAAAATCCCTTGAGTACATAACAGAATTTAAAATTGCTCCAAGGCCATATAAATCCCTATCAAAGAGTAAAGAGGATATATATTTTGATTCCTGGGAAAAAGAGTCCACCAAATCTGAACAAAGAGTCCCTGAATCCTCAACCACCTTCTTCATTTCCCTTTTTAAAAGCTTAGTGTATCTGTCTTGTTGTTCAAGTAAAACTGAAGAAAAAGTTCTGAAACCATCTCCTTTCCATCCTTCAGGGATAATAATTGTAATTCTCCTATCATTCCCCCAATCAACCAAACGCATAAAACCCCCAAACTGATTTTTTCAGTAAGAAAGTTGAATTTTACGATCATGCTCAATTGCTCATACCTCGTGCAAACCCAAGATGCTCCAGATTGAATTAGACAAAGAGATTCATGTAACCAATTTACTGCCTCCATAGCTAGTGAAATGGAGCAAGAGAAGTTTTCCTTTATTTGACTGATACGCAAAGCACATGAATCCAAATCAAACCGGAAGTATTTGCTTTCAACTTTAATTGTTTTCCTAAAAGTGTCAAACTCCTGAGCTGAAACAAGTTTCTGCTCGACACCCCAAAAATAGCCGTCTGACTCTACTGTATTGCACAAAAACTTGTCCCTTCCATCAATTCTTTTTTGTTGCCTCAGATCCAAAGCTGCCGGTCGCCTATATTCTGCCGATTGATTTGCTGGAAACCAAAGATGCCTTCTAATCCTGGTCGATCTTCCATCGAGATGCAGATGCTCATCAAAACACTCTCCCCTATAAAAGGACGGTAGCTGCTTTGCAAAAGAGATACAACACACAAACATACATCACTTCTTTTAGCTCAAAAACACTCCAGCCTTCTCAGAAAAATTCCTTCTGTGTTCTAAGCTGTGTTCACGTTCGTTGGAACTTTAGTTTTTCACGTTCGTTGGAACTTTAGTTTGAGTGCTAAACTATTGTTTGAAGTCATCGTATCATGGGAAACGATCGTTGCAACGCTCCTAGCACCCCGGGAGGCAACGAATACGTTTTAAGGAAATCGTGTGTAGCACGAGCTTTGGCTTTTTTGCTTCATCTATTTTCTGTTTTCGTTTAGTCATTTTATTTAATTAATGGGGGATTTACTTAAATAGGAGTAAATAAATCCATAATTGCAAAAATAGGAGCAAAGTTTAAAAATTCCCAAAATATGAGTTATTATTTGAAATTGGACAAAAATACCCTGAAGCTTGCAAAATCACAGCACTGTCAAAATGCCGGATGGCCGCCAATTGCCGGCCGCCGCCGCCGCTGGCTGCCGCCACCGCTGCAGAATTGGCCGCCGTTGCAGAGTTGACCACCGGCGTTGCAGATCTAGTCATAGGTGCCACAGACCTGACCACCACCGACGTAAATCTTGCCAGATCTGGCGGACGCCGTTCGCCGGTATCCACTCCTGCAGATCCGCCGTTGCTGTTGGAAATCCGACCTCCACGGTTGCAGATCCGGCTTCCACCGCTGCAGATCTGGCCACGGTCGAAGTTGATGCCAAAATCTTTACGAGATTGCCAACGTGATTGGAAAATGTCATCTTGATGGCATTTTCAAACAAAAATATGAAATTCAGAAGAGAAAAAATGCCATTGCTATGGCATTTTCAGAGTATAACTTGACATTTTTTTCACGAACAAAGAACATCATGAACAACATCTCATTTTTGGCAACTAGAACCTGAAATGAAGAGGGGGAGGCAGATCCAGAGAAGAAGATGCAGATGCATGAACAACAAGATACTTTACTCCAACCACCAAATCCGAGTTCAATACTTGCTGAAACTTCCTTGATGGCCATCACCGCTACTCGCCGCACCAGGAAGCTCGTCTCTGCAGGGCGGAGATGGTGATCGGAGAAGAAAGGATGGCCGCCACACCTAGAAGATCGTGAGGAGGTCGGAATAGATGGTGAACAGGATGGAGAAGGCGTGAAAAAAGAAGATGATTAGCCGATGGCTATTGTGCGTGCCTGGAGAAAATAGAATGAACGAAGAAGGGGGTGTGCGAAGAAGAAGATGATGATTCTCGATGGCTGTTGTGCGTGAGTGAACAAAACAGAAGAAGGGTAATTTTGGAAAAAAGGTCCTATTTAGGGAATAAAATACACTTACTCCTGTTTTGGAATTTGAACAGCAATTTAGTCCTATTTAAGACAAAATTCCCTTAATTAATTTCTTAGTTTTTTCAGAACAGACCCAACAGTCTCATCCGCGTGTTACGAACCTAGCCCATACTAGGCTCATATCAGTGCCATAAGCCCAAGTGTAGAACTCAACAGGCCACATATATCATTCAAGTTCTGAGAAGGAAACATACATCATACATGCATATTACATTTCATAACCAACGCTATATATATGCCACAACATTATTCTTGACCCATTTCTAGTTACATGTAAAATAGGTTTGACCAAACAGAACATTCACACCAGCCCAACCCACCATTGAATAGGCTAGGACCATAACAATCCACCCCCCTGAGAATAAGCTTGTCCTCAAGCTTCTTTTGGATCAGCTACAAAGTTCGGGTACCTGTTGACCAAATCTTCATAAGCTTCCCATGTAGCATCTTTAGGGCTGCCATTAGACCATTATATTAACAAATACACTGTTACAACATTGTTCTTGGTCATTTTTCTTTGAACCACAGCTGCAGGTTCAACCCTCAAAAGAACCTGATCATCCTCATTAGGCAAAGTACTAACAATTGGACATTCTCCATGGTGTTTTTTTAGTTGTGACACATGGAAGACAATGTGGATTTTTGCCTGCTCAGGTAACTTCAGTCGATAAGCAACCCTCTTCACATTCGTGATGATCTGAAAAGGGCCAAAATACTTGGGGGACAACTTTTGGTTACTCCTTTGGACCACAGATTGCTGCCTCTAAGGCTGGAGCCTAACATAGACCCAATCTCCCTCATGGAACTCCTTATCATGTTTGTCCGCTTGTATTTTCATCCTATCTTGAGCTCTCTATAAGTGAAACTTCATCAGTTGTATGCATTCTTCCCTTGCCTTAAGATTTCGATCCACAGCTTCCACCGGGCTATCACCATTCACATAAGGAAGGCGGATAGCTGGAGCTTGCCCATACACCACTTCAAATGGAGTAATCCCAATAGCTAAATGATAGTTGGTATTATACCACTACTCAACTAGGGGTATACATTTGGCCTAGTCTTTAGGTTGCTCTATAGTCATACACCATAAATAAGTTTCACTATTTCGGTCTGACCATCCGTCTGTGGGTGGTATGCAGCAGACATCCTCTACTCCACCTGCTGCATTTTGAAGAGCTCCTGCCAGAATTTTCTGAGGAAAATCTTGTCTCGATCACTGATAATAGTTTTGGGTAGCCCATGCAATTTGAATATGTGATCAAAGTATTCCTTGGCCACAGTGCTTGCTTGATAGGCACTTATTCACTATTTCGGTCTGACCATTCGTCTGTGGGTAGTATGCAGTAGACATCCTCAACTCCACCTGCTCCATTTTGAAGAGCTCCTGCCAGAATTTTCTAATTAAAATCTTGTCCCGATCACTGATAATAGTTTTGGGTAGCCCATGCAATTTGAATATGTGATCAAAGTATTCCTTAGCCACAGTGCTTGCTTGATAGGGATGAGTTAGTAGAATGAAGTGTGCATACTTACTCAAACGATCCACTAATTATTCCTTCCTTTATTAAGTTAGCCTAGGCCTATAAATTGTATTCAGCTCTTTTATTTACAATCAATCAATAAACTCTATTCTTCTAGTTGGTATCAAAGCTTCCCGATTCTAGGGGCTTTGCTTCTGCACGCAAACACAAAAAAGAGGTTTTTTATGAAAAAATTACTGCCAAAAGGCTGCTCTGGGTTCTGTTCTTGAGTTTTTTTCCTCTTTGATACTACCGCTTTACTAGTGTAGTATTTTCTTTCTAAACTATGTCTGATCTTGAAGAAAGAACTCTTTCTTTCCCACCTTTGACCCACAATGACCTCCCGATATTACAAGGGTCATACTGGTTAGATGGGTGCAACTACCTTCAATGGGCTCAGCTTGTTCGTACCACTCTTAGAGGACACAAAAGGATTAGTCACATCAAAGGCAAAGCCCCTGCTGAGACAGATCCAAACTATGAAACATGGGTTAATGAGGATTCTCTCATTATGACCTGGTTTTGGCACTCTATGACTCCGGAGGTTAGTAGGAATTATATGTTTTTTGCAACTGCTAGGGAGATTTCGAAGAATCTAGCAGAAATGTGAAATAACACTGAATTTATCAAAGTTTGACAATGAAGTGTGATGAAGACTCTACAGCACTAACCCAATTTATTGAAATAACACGGATATTTAAGTTTCTCTCTGGGATCAACTCTGAATTTGATCCCATTCGGGTTCAAATTTTGGGTAATAAGAAACTGCCATCTCTTTCGGAAGTCTTTCACACTGTTCGTGGTGAAGAAAGTAGGAGGTCAGTGATGATGGAAGAGAAATCAATTGATGGTTCAGCCTTAGCCACCGGAAAGAGTTCCATACAAGGATCCACTTTGGGAGGCCCTTTTTTGAAGTCCAATCGTGAAGACCGATTGTGCAGTTCTTGTAAAAAAATCTGGTCATACAAAGGACACATGTTTCAAACTACATGGAAGGGATAAAGTCCTTGGACGTATAAGCGGGTTCAAAAATATTGTTCAAAGACGTGCAAATCACACAGTTTCTAACGTGGAAATTGAAGGCAATCCACCCAGTTCATCCACAGAAGACATCCCCAGCCTTAGCAAAGCAGAACTTAAGCGCCTAAGAGCATTTATGGACTCCTTGAGCACACCCTCTGGTAATTGTTCTCTAACAATGACTGGTAAGAATTCTACCTTCTTACCTTTTGATGCTTTAAGTACTGATCATAGTTGTGTTGACTCTGGTGCTACAGATCACATGATACCTCACCTCTCACATTTATCTTCATATTCCACTTTACCAACCAAACACCATATCACTGTTGCTAATGGATCCCAAACTCCCATTACTGGATGTGGTAACACCATTGTGAATTCATCTCATCACCTTAAGCATGTCCTTCATGTTCCAGGGCTCTCTAGAATTCTTTTGTCTATCCACAAACTTACCAAAGATTTAAACTGTGCAGTAACTTTCATTCATTCCCATTGTGTTTTTCAGGATCTTGCCACGGGGAAGACGATTGGAATTGCTAAGGAACGTGATGGGTTATACTCACTGCCATATAAGGAAAGTATTTGTCATCAAGCGAGTTCAGAATCTTGGAATTCCTCTCAAATATGGTTGCATCACAAACGTCTTGGTTTCCCCATTTATTTACAAAATTGTCAGTTGAGTCTTTTCGATATCTCGGTTCCTTGTTCCTATACCTCTATTAGACAAGTCCCAATTCTATGGTGGCTTCAGGCTGGTTCAACAACCATACTGGATATTTTTAAACATAATATGTCAGGCATCATAACTTGGCATGTTTGGAAGATTTATGCTAAATTGGTTTGGGGGGATCTTTTTTCTACGCCCTCAGTTAACTCAGTTATTCAGCAAATCAGATTTTTTACTCAAGACTGGTCTCTAACTTTCAAACATCCCAAATTGACTTCTGGAGGAAGATTATTAAGGGAGGAGAAGCTTATTCCTAATTCCTTTCAGTTTCACAGACCGTTTGTTAAAGCGGTGAAATGGGCACTACCTGTGATAGGGATGAAGCGCAATGTAGATGCATCATTCAGGTTAGGCGATGTGGTAGCAGGTGCGG